AGCTATGGCTGTTTTGTTCAGGCTCGTGTAAGACTGCACCAATGTCCCCGGGGAAGCAGCCTTCCTTCCACTCACTCCCTTTGCCATGTAATTTTGCGATGATTCCCCACCTTAGGTGCAGCATACTTTACGATATCTTGACTCTAGGCTTGGCCATGGACTTGTTTGGGACAAGATATGAATCAAAAAGAAGCTAAAAATGCACTGAAAATTTCAGTGTTAGAAAATTAAGGTTCTTTCAATACCCGAGAGTTGATGGAAAAGCTGTGATATAGCCCAGGGTTGGGGAAGGAACGTCTGACATAACACGGAGACTAACATCCAGCTTTCAAGAAATTAGTTTTTCATGTAATTAAAAGCTTCAAACAGGAGAGTACTGCTTCCTTGGTCACCATCAATAAGAAGAAAACTACCCAGAAGGGTGGGATTGGGGCAGCGGGGGAAAGGCCAGACGTAACCCGTAAACTAGAGCTACCTCCTGTTAAAACAATTTATCTATCCCACGAGAGAACTAGAAACACATTTCAGATTCGTTGTTTTATCCCTCATGTGTGGATTAGGGCCTATACATAGGGGGTTGCTCATAACTTTGTCAAGAATAAATAAATGGATTATTGGAAATCATCCTAGAAAGAATGTGTATTCATGTATGTATTTATTCAATAAATAAATGTTGAGAAACTACTACAATATTACACCTTATGGCAGGTGCTAGGCACACAGCAGTGAGAAAAATGAACAGATATATGATAGCCCTCAAACAGCTGATAGTCTGGTTGTAGAAAACGGAATACATGAAATATAAAATATTCAGATGATGCTAAGTGATATGGAGAAACGATACATCAAAGTAAATGGATGGGTTAGTGTAGAGGGTCTCTGCAATTTTAAAAAGGTGATTAGGGAAGGTCTCACTGGAAGAAAGGGGCATTTGAGTAAATTGTTTAATGAAGTAAGGGTGTGAGCCTCTAGATATTGAGAACCAGTGTTCCAAGGAGAAGAGCAGGTGCAAAGGCCCTGAGGCAGAAATGTGCCTGGTGTTTTTCTGACAGAGCAAGATGGCTACTGTGGCTGGACCAAACTAAGGGAGACAGAGACTATTAAGGGAAGAGCTCAGAGTGGTCCCAGGGACCAAGCCTCATAAAGCATAGTTAGAACTTTGGCTTTTATTCTAAGTAAGGCAGAAACACATTGATTGTCAGCAGAGGAGTGGGAGAATACAGTGTGTTTTAAATGAGTCTTCTCCAGCTATTGTGTTGAGAATCTACTAATTGGGGAAAAGGCAGAATCCAGGGGAGACTATTAAAGATTTCCAAATCAGAGATGATAGTAGCCAAAAAAAGGCAACATGCCACTAAATAAATTACCTGGAGAACCTGCAGAGAACATGCATGTGTTTTTTTCACTAAAGATTTTGAAGTTGAGAATTTTGGAGCAGATACATTTGAAAAATTATATTTTAATGTTATTTCATAAAATTAAAAATCACCTTGCTTTTCTCACTATGAAGTGTTCTCTCTTCTTAGAATATTTAGATATCTAAATGTTCTATATACATACATGTGGCCTATCCCTAAAATTCAGAAATGTAGACTCATTCCTTTACCATTTTCTAAAATAAAAAGGAGAGGGGTGCCTGGGTGGCTCAGTTGGTTGAGCGTCTGACTTCGGCTCAGGTCATGATCTCCTGGTTAGTGAGTTCAAGCCCCACATTGGGCTTTGTGCTGACAGCTCAGAGCCTGGAGCCTGCTTTGGATTCTGTGTCTCCCTCTCTCTCTGCCCCTGTCTTGCTTGCACTCTGTCTCTCTCACTCTCAAAAATAAATAAACATTAAAAAAATAAAATAATTAAGAGAAATATATAATTTAAGCTCTTAGTCCTCTCAAAATATGGATGAATTACAAAATCCCTATCTAAAACTATTTTCAGGGCAGAGTCACCAAGAACTACTTCTTACTACCCTCAGGTCATGGAGAGGAATATGAGAGAGAAAGGCATCCAAAGCAGAAGAGAGATCCAGAGTCTTAACATTAAATCTACCTATTTTTAAAAAATTTTTAAATGTTTATTTGAGAGAGAGAGAGAGAGAGGAAGACACGGAATCAGAAGCAGGCTCCAAGTTCTGAGCGGTCAGCACAGAGCCCAACACAGAGCTAGAACTCATGAACTGCAAGATTATGACCAGAGCCAAAGCCAGACCCTTAACTGATTGAGCCAGCCAGGTGCCCCTAAATCTACCTATTTTAAGTTTGAATTGGCCTCAATGATTTTCCGTTACAAACTAAAACGGAGAAACATCAAATAGCAGTGATAGTTGGGATAAAAAAAAAAAATCACAGTTATTATTAACATCTGCTATAACAATTTATGCATAGCCTAAGAGAAAGCTTTGCATTTTGGGAGTAGCAAAGCGGAGGGTTGGAACAATACAGGCCTACTTTCAAATCCCAGCAATATCACTTAGTGCACTGGTCTGAACCAAATGTATGATTCAGCTTTGGAGTTTCAAGTGTTTTTTCCCTGTAATATGGTAGTAATATCTTCCTCAGGCTACTACTATCTCAGGCACTCTTTTAAATAGTGCCTATAAAAGAGACTTAGGCAGCTCCTAAAAATATGGCATTTGTTTATGCATATCACCTTCTTCTCTGTAAAACAACAACAAAACAACAGGATAATGATAATCTTAGGTAGCTAGAGCTACTGGAGCAAAAAAGGGCTTTGTTCTACTTCCCAAACCAAATAAGATAGGAACTGAAAGAATCTAGAGCAGAAATAGCAATAAGAAATTTGGACTTGAGGCTCTTTTAGACTATAAAGAGATTCTCGTTAACCTAATTAAGATAAAGGGACCTTAATTGGCCGAAGGGAAACTCCCTGTGATAAAATTGTGAGAACACATAGATTTGTGCAGAATGCCTCTCAGAGAATGAAACCTGGGGGCATATTCAGACAACTGACAGTATTATAATTGATTCTGATAGAAACTTTAATATAACCACAGCAGAGAAAAAAATTGGACCATTAGCATGCACGTCATTATTGTTATGACGATTTGCATATTCTCTCGGTGAAATAAGACAGGAATTTTAAACTAGTAAGTACATACATCAGTGTTTGTATTAGGCATTTATTAATTCTCATGTTTAAGTATTATTAATGATTTGTAAAGGTTTCTAAACCAGCAGTATCCTGGCTGGCATTGATTTGAATTTTCTCATGAAATGATTGTCATTTCCCTTCAATTTTCCATGTGCCCCTGCTGACCTGTCCCAGGGAATATTGCTGTACTATAATCTCCTAGACGCGACACTGCAAGAGAGTTATGTGCAAGACTTTTTCTGTGCTCAACTTGAGAACTGTCATGCATTTCCAATGCTATGTAAAATGAAGTGATCATTACAAACAGTACTCATTCAATCCAAATGTGCTTGAGGTGGCCCAATTCTGTTTTTCCCTTGCAATAAAAGGGTTAATGTTTGGCAAAAAAAAAAAAAAAAAAAATTAAACTGCAGAAGTTGCTGCTACATCAAAAATCAACTTGGTTACCATTAAAATTATATTTAACAAAGTTGGCATATACAAGCTTCTATTTTTCGGTTGGCTATACACAGATGTGAATCTAAAGAAGGAAGTGCGTGACTTTCATCTTCTCGATAATTTTATGTTGATTACAAATTATATAGATGGAAGGAATGTGAAATAAAATGTAATGAAGGCCAGGAAAAGAAGGGGCTAGCATAGTTCAATGGCTGAGAAAACCAATTTTGGAATCAGAAAGACATATGTTCAAATCAGAGCTCCTCAACTTATTAGGAGTGTGAGTGCGACCTTTGGCAATTTATTTAACTTCTCTAAGTTTGTTTCCTGATCTGAGAAGAACCCTTAATACTCCTATATCATTAGGTGATTATGAAAATTAAATACCAAAAGACATAAAAGTTCTTGTCACAGTGTCTTGAACATAATAAGCACTAAAGTGTTATATTTGATCAATTATGTTATTACCTTTCTTTGTAATAACAATAAGCACTCGAGTCTTATTACATAATTGTGGTTATTATCACTGTAATGATCAAGAAAAGAAATGAAACAACAGACCTGTGATCTTCATTACTCGCTCTGAGCTAATTTCAACCCAGTTTCCCTATGGCCCACTCCTCTAAGAACGAGTGCATTTATAGATTGGAAAAAGTTTTTCCCACTGAGCCCAACAACGGCACTTTAGGCTGAACTGAAAAAAAAGTAAGAGTTGCCAACCAAGTCCATCTGGGAACAAGATCCTCCCCCAAGGGTGGGTAAGTGAGTGACAGATATATAGGTCGAGCGTTATGGAAAAGACCCACCTACAGATCCCTGATTATTGTTAATAGTCTATACTTCACTTGGCTCCTGCTTCTGTTTTGGGGTCGGGGGAGCCTCAACGCAGATGTCAGGTGTTGAACTGGTCAGGACATAAGTGATTCACTTTCTTTTGTTTAAAGTCCTAAGTCCCCGCACGCCTGATGAGTGAAAATGTTTCTCGAGTACGAAAGCCTTTATGCTAGAACAGTGCTTTGCTCTAATCACTAAGCCTCCACGTTAAGACTGGTGGCAACTGCCTCGACGCGTACAGAACGTTCTTTTGGGGTAGAATCCTGGGAGACTCGTAAGAATCCTGCCGTAATCGACGCTTTCCCAGACAACTGTGAGCAGTCTCCAAAACTCACGGTTTAAACCCACATTAAGAAGCGATATGCAAAAACAAAATGTAGAAAAGACGAACATAAGACGCAAGTGAGAGGAGGCAGGACCTCGACAACGCTACAGACCTCCGCCACTGCCAGGGTCTTCGCGACCGGTATTTCTCCGCCATCTCCTACCGCGATTTTCCAAACCTGCCACCTCGGCTACCGTCGTCCCTGCCCAGACGACGGCTACTGCCGAGGATTCTGGGCAGGCGCGAGCAAGCTGCCTCACGCGCCCAGATCGCCGCTGCCGAGAAGACGCTAGCAGGCGCCATGACGGACAAGTGTCGCCGCGCGAAAGTCTACTTTCTGAACCGAGATAAACAATGGGAAGACCTGGGCAGCGGAAATGTGTCTTCCACTTACGTGGAGCAGCTCCAGGGCGTGTGTCTGCTGGTTCAGTCAGATTCCAGTGACGCGCTGATCCTGGAGTCAAAGATAAATGCAAATACGCCCTACCAGAGGCAACAGGAAACGCTGATTGTTTGGTCTGAAGCCGAGAGCCACGGTATGGCTTTAAGTTTCCAGGACACCAAAGGTTGTCAGGAGATCTGGGAAGACATTTGCCGAGTTCAAGGTAAAGATCCGTCCGTCAGTATCACACAAGACCTCATAGATGACTCGGACTATGAATTTGATAACCTACTAGAAAGTAGTGATGTGTTTGACTTGCCTAAGTGTGAACTGAGTAAACTCGAAGAGATTTCTGACTTTATTACCTCGGTTCTTGCTTTACCTATTCATAAGGAAAGACTGGCTCTGATCTTAGAAAATGGAAACTATATTAAAAATTTGCTGCAGCTGTTCCACACTTGCGAAAACCTAGGGGACACTGCAGGCTTACGCTATTTGCATGAAATTATTAAAAGCATCTTATTCCTTAACAGGCCATCTCTGTTTGAGATCATGTTTTCTGATGAGTGTATTATGGATGTGGTGGGATGCCTTGAATATGACCCTGCTCTGGCTCAGCCGAAAAGGCATAGGGAATTCTTGACTCAAAATGCAAAGTTCAAGGAAGTTGTACCAATAACAGGCTGTGAACTTAGGCAAAAGATACATCAGACCTATAGGGTACAGTACATTCACGATATCCTTATGCCGATACCATCCGTGTTTGAAGAGAATCTTCTTTCTAGTCTTACAACTTTTATTTTCCTCAACAAGATGGAGATAGTCCGCATGCTGCAGGAAGATGACAACTTTTTGTCTGAAGTTTTTGTGCAGCTCAGGAGCGAGACTATAGATGATGATAGACAGCGCGAGTTACTACTTTTCTTCAAGGAATTCTGTGCATTTTCACAGACATTACAGCCTCCAAACAGGGATGCCCTGTTAAAAACATTGACACATTTGGGGATCCTTCCTGTTCTTAAAATTGTGATGGGCAAGAATGATTTGCAGATAAGATCAACTGCTTCTGACATATTTGCTTATCTCGTAGAGTATAGTCCATCCATGATCCGAGATTTTATAATGGAAGAAGCCCAGCAGAGTATAGACGGTAAACTTTTCATTAATTTAGTAATTGAGCAAATGACCTCTGATACTGATCCTGAGCTGGCAGGTGCTGTTCATTTAATGGGACTCTTTCGTGCTCTACTCGATCCTGAAAATATGATGTCAACACCTAGTAAATGTGAAAAAAGTAAGTTTCTAAATTTCTTCTATAAGCATTGTATACATAACTTCATAGCACCACTTTTTGCTACCACTTCAGAAAATATATGTGAAGGGGATAATGTAGTTGGATTTGACAAAAACAACACAAATTGCCCTGATAATTATAAAACAGCACTGCTGCTTTCTTTAATTTTAGAGCTGCTCACGTTTTGTGTGCAACATCACACATATTACATAAAAAACTATATTTTAAGCAAAGATTTGCTAAGAAAAGTCTTGATCTTGATGAGTTCAAAGCACACCTTCCTGACCCTGTGTGCTCTCCGCTTTATGAGAAGCATGATTGGCCTTCAAGATGAACTTTATAATTGTTACATCATCAACGGAAATCTTTTTGAGCCAGTTGTAAATGCTCTTCTGGAAAATGGGAGTCGGTACAATATGTTGAATTCAGCTATTATTGAGCTCTTTGAATACATAAGAGTGGAAAATATAAAGTCTCTTATTATACATATAGTTGAGAAGTTTTATAAAGTACTTGAATCAATTGAATATGTTCAGACCTTCAAAGGATTGAAGACTAAATACGACCAAGAAAAAGACCAACAAAATCAAATACGGAAGAATTTACATGCTATACTGTGTAGTAAAATAATTTGCAGTGACATCAGTGTCTCAGAGAAGAAGGAAGAAATGTGTATTAAACAAGATTCAGGGGAAGAAGAACCAGTTATGCCACCATTGGAAGATGATTTTCCAGATTTTTATGATAAATTCATCAAGCCTGAAAACCCAAAAGAAAATGAAGGCAAGGAAGATCTCCCTAAAAGAACATCTTCTGGGAGCTGCAAAGTCCCTTCATCCCACTCTGCTGGTGGTGCTGATGAAATGAGCAGCCTCAACAGTAGCAGCACTGTTGCCTTAAAGGATCCAGATGATGAAGAGAAAGATGAAGAAGATGAAACACCACCCAAGAAGAAACCGCATCTTAGCTCGTAAAACCTTCAATGTTACTAAACTCTACTAATGTTACTAAATTCTACTTTACTAACACTAAAATAAGAAGCAAACATGCTCGGTGTTATTGTCTAGGAGGGTTTAGTTCTTTTTTTTTTTTGGTGATCTTGCGAAACTATAGTTCTTTTTTTTCTTTTTTTTTTTTTTTTCTTTTTCTTTTTCTTTTTTTTTTTTTTTTTTTTTTTTTTTACAAATAGTTTATTGTCAAGTTGGTTTCCATATAACACCCAGTGCTCATCCCCACAAGTGCCCTAGGAGAGTTTAGTTCTATAAAAACCAAACTTGACAGAATTTAAAAATACTAAAAACACTAACCAGAATCTGAAGATAACTTCTTTGCAAGAAAAATCTTGGTTTGGGGACGGGGGGAGGAAATAGGTTGATGATATAATATTAATGTAGTTTTGTTTCAGGGGTATTTTTTAAAAGCAATTATTAACATTGCAGTTGCAAAGCTTATAACATGACTTGTTCAATGTTTCTGGCTATGGTTTTCTTTGCCTCAATTACCTTTTTTTGAAATAAAAGCTTATGTTTATATGGAAACAAAGACAACTGTAATAAAAAAATTAAGCTATTCACGTTTCTGCAAAGATTTAACACAAATTCAGCCTCTGGGTAATTGGAGGAAAGTAACTTGCAGTGTGTATTTTTCATGAATAAAGAAAGCTGGATTCAAAATGTGCAGTTGTTAATTTAACTTTTTTTTTTTTTTGATAAGAGAATCAATCCAGTAGCATTCTAAAAAGGTGTTCTCTATTACCTTGGTAGTGGGTCGAACAGAATGCTTTCAATTGCCAGACGGTGTAAGGTACTTTTGAAGATATTTCCCGATGCTTTAATAAAGTTGTGTCAGTCTTCAAAACAGGCTAAGTTTTAAAGTATAATTTAGAAAGACTAACATACAAAAAGAGGTGTGACTCTTGGTGGATCAAGAATTTGTAAAAAGTTGTAGCAAAGAGTTGAGAGAATTTATTTTTAGAGGAGCAAGTCAACTGGGTCCGTTTTTCCTGGAATGTCTTAAAGTGAAGTAGTTTTTCCTATTTTAAAGATTTTAGATTTAATTTCAGTTTTGGTTATTGTTTGAACCAGGTGGGCTGTCTGTGTAGATATGGAGTATAGTTTTCCATAAGACAGGTTTTTATTTTATATTCAAAATATCACTGTAGTTGTTTTGCACCATTTGATGATATTCATGCTCAACTATAAAATTTAGGAGTGAAGAAGTCACCTTGTAATTCCAAAAATAAAAGGGACCGTTTTAAGTGTACTATTATGCCAATAAAAAAGACATGCAGAGGTAAGAGAGTTGTGTGAGAGTGTATTCCTAAAGCAAGAAATCATCATTTTATCAGATGTAAAATCTGATAAAGTGTGGACATGACCTCAGGAGATATAACCACACATTGCTGAGGACATGACACAGCAGGAAAACTGCATTTTTACATCTCTCAAACCATACGGGTTAAATAAAATGTTGTAATGGAATTATTCGTGTTGTGAGTATATGTCAAAAAAGGCAGTTTTTTCCAAAAGCATCTCATGTTTCCCTTCTGGCTAGATTGTCACGGGAAATGTTATCCATAGTCCACACATTTACATACATACACAGAGTGTTGCTTTGAAAAAAATATCCTTAACTCTTCGTTTTGATGGGAATGGCCCCAGCTCCTTAGCAGAGCAGCTATTTACAACTACACCGAGAAGAACAGTTTTTCTGTGCTCTTTTCTGCTTAGTCTCTTCTCTTCAGCTAGTTTGAATCAGCCATTAATAAACGGACATTGTAGGAGAAAAAAATGAATATTTGCATTTCTTTCTGTACTATTTCCAGTGAATTTGTAAAGAGGGGTGGAGGAGGGAATGTAATGAGAAGTTAAAAAAAAATAAGAAGAAAAAAAAAACAAAAGAAAAAAGGACAGGCATTCTATTGAGCTGTATAACCTCTATGAGCCCTTTTCTAGTCTCAGCTACTTAATGTTAGGGAAACAACATGACAGGCAAAGTGGTGCAAAGGCAAATTGCCCATCAAATGGCATAACCTGCTATTATGGGAACATTGAAGAGGGCAACAAAACACAGAAGAGCAAGCCTTACTTGTCTGCACACTGAATGGAAAACGTTCAGTCTGTCTAGATACTGTGTATGAGGAGATAGTGTGTCAGAAATGTTTAATTCCATCTTTAAGATTTTTAGAAGTAATTTTACCAGGCCCCTTAAGTGGGTTATTTATGCAAACAGGAAACAGTTTCAACTGGCTCTGCATGTATGGTAAAATACAGACAGACATTTTTGGGCAGGCACCCTGGGTTCATCAAGATTAGGGCTATAAATGCATGGCCTCCAGTAATTTTTACAGTATAATGACTTTCTAAATACACCAACAAAGGAAACGTGATACAACAGGTAAAGCAAAAGCTTCCTATTCAGACAGCCCTTGCTGACAATGCAGACTCTGACGCTTACAAGGTCAGTGACCTTAGACAATTTACTTCTTTGCTCCTCTAACCACGGTTTCTTCATCTTTTCCTAAAAATCAGAAACTATATGTAAATTACCCAGAACATTTTCAGCACTCAATAAATAGCTTTTGAAACTCTTTATTATCAACAATAGTAGCATAATCACTTGCAAGAAGACTGGGGATAAAGTCAGAAAAACACTTATATCACAAGTTATGCTCCTAAATCAATAATCTCATATTCTCGATCAAATGATAACAACACGATAAATTAAAAATTAATGAGTTCACTTCTGGCTAGCAGACAAGTCTTTGCAGATGCATCATGCCCTGCTGAGACACAACGGAAATAAAAGGCATTAAAGTCGAAAGAAAAATAAGCTTGCATAGCTCCACTTGGGTGGAGTGGTGTCTCGGGTGTTATTGGAGGAGCACAGAGAAAATTGAAATTAGAAGAGTAGCAGAAGAGGTGAGGAGGGCAACCAAGATTTGTGAAAATGAAGAGAGTCAATAAGCCCTCTTCTCTTCTGGTGCCCCACCCCAGCAAGCAGAGCAGGCAGCTAGAATACATCCCTAGATAACAGATCAAGTGTCCTTCTCCTTAAAGCAATTGGAATAATGGCCAAAGCTGAGGGCCATGGTATGGACGTTGTTACCTCAGAGTTATTCTCTTCTCATGAGGGTGTTGGAAGACCCAGGATGCTGCAGGTTTACTGCTCTAAGGTACAAGTCACAGTGTTTCCAGGGTGAGATGGATTAATGCCCAGCTCCCACCTAAGAAGTACAATCTCAAGACGACATGGGGCGCCTGCTGGGTGGCTCAGTCGATTAAGCACCCGACTCTTGCTTCCGGCGCGGGTCATGATCCTGCGGTTCGTGAAACAAAGCCCCAACTGGGGATCTGAGCTGGCAGCTAGGAGCCTGCTTGGGATTCTCTCTCTCCCTGTTTCTCTGCCCCTCCTCCACTCACACTTTTTCTCTCTCTCTCTCTTAAAATAAATAAATAGATGTTAAAACAAACAAACAAATAAAAAAGAGGACAAATGACACCCTTGGAAAGAAAATCTTTACAATCAGCAGGTCTGTCAGGTAATACCTACATCAGTCAGGTTGGGAATGATGTGGTTAAGTGTTAGGGTTCCCAGTTCAGTTCAAGTAACTGAGCCTACTCCTTGTTTGTGAAAGTTTGCTAAATGCAGTCAATCCAATCTTATTGGTCCATGCCACCAGCATGGTAGTGTGACATCAGCCCACCCCAGGATGACGAAGATTAGAAATGAGGATGACATCCAGAGGTGTGTGTGTGTGTGTGTGTGTGTGTGTGTGTGTGTGTGTGTTGCATGAGCTGGTAGCATCCTTTACATCTTCTGATAGATCTCTCGGGTTAAGGGGAAAGGAAAGGTGGTCAGAGCTCTCTCACTGCGGATGGCAGATCCAGCAGTCAGTTAAATTGAAGATGCTTCTAACCATGTGAGAGAGCTACACTGGAAAGTTTTCCTTGGGGAGGAAGTCTTCAGAGGCAGTTTTGAAAGAGAGAAGTCCTTCATGCTCCTTTCTCCGTGTGTAACCTGACCCGAGGTTCCGGGTCATTGCTCTTCCTCCACTTTTGTAATACCTGAGTGTCTCCAGTAACCATAAATTTGCTCCCCCCCTTTTTTTATTATTCCTTACCCTCACCCAAACTTTTCATCTGGAAGGATCAGGTTGAGAAGGACAAAGCCATTTTTATAAAACCAGAATTAAGTTTGAATCACACAGTTCCCATTTTTGCCAGGCTGCCGCCCAGAAGCTGTACCAATCAGCTGGCCTAGGGAAAGAAAGATGCATCATACTTAGGAATGGTCAAGACAGAATCTTAAATTTTCAAAATTGGTCTAGATAATTTCCTATCCCTTTAATCCTTATTTAATGACCAAATTACCTTTCTCTGATGTAGGGCTTCTCAGTCTCACCACGGTTGACATTCTGAGCCAGATATTTCATTGTTTTGGAAAGTTTTCTTGTGCATTGTAGGAAATTCTGCAGCATCCCTGACATCTACCCACTAGATGCCAGCAGCACACCCCCAGCTTTGACAAGCAAAAATGTGTCCAGAAAATGCTAAATATTCCTCAAAGGGCAAACCCACCCTTAATTATGAACCACTAGTCTAAAGCTATGTAGAGCTTGATTCAAGAGATTCTCTTACTTTATGATTATTGGATTTACATCCTCTAGGCTGAGTTACCTTTTATTTTTATCCTCTACCTGAAGGGGCAAAGTAGACAAGGGTTAGGTGTATAAAGTACATACAAGAGTTAGGTGTATAATGCACTTGAATGAAAAGAGAACAGACTTTGCTTGGAATTACTGAGATCCTGATTCTGCTTTTTATTACCTGTCTAACCATGGCATCTTATTAAGAACCCTCTAATTCTCAGGGTTCTTATTTTTCATATATGGCTGACAACACTGCTATGGCTGAATTATGTCCCCCAAAGTTCATATGTTGAGGTTCGAACACCCAGGACCTCAGAATGGGAC